GAATTGCGTGAACCCGGGAGGTGGAGGTTGCAGTGAGCTGAGATCTAACCACTGCACTCTAGCCTGGGTGACAGAGCAAGACGCCATCTCAAATAATAATAATAATAATAATAATAGCCACATTTATTGAGCACCACTCTAAATGCTTTTCACAGATTAACTCATTTTATCTTCACAACAACCCTATGCCATGTTATTTCATCCATTTTTACAAAGAAATGAAGACACAGAGAGGCTACATAATTTACCAAAGTCAACAGATAGAAAGTAGAGATTCTGGCCAGGCATGGTGGCTCAAGCCTGTAATCCCAGCACTTTGGGAGGCCGAGACGGGCGGATCACGAGGTCAAGAGATCGAGACCATCCTGGCTAACCTGGTGAAACTCCGTCTCTACTAAAAAGTACAAAAAACTAGCCGGGCGAGGTGGCGAGCACTTGTAGTCCCAGCTACTCGGGAGGCTGAGGCAGGAGAATGGTGTGAACCCAGGAGACGGAGCTTGCAGTGAGCCAAGATCCGGCCACTGCACTCCAGCCTGGGTGACAGAGCGAGACTCCGTCTCAAAAAAAAAAAAAAGAAAGAAAGTAGAGATTCTGAAGATTATGAATTTCAAAAACATCAATGATATTCTGATTTAATTGCTCTGGGGGGTGGAACCAATATTTTTTAAAGCACCCCAAGCAATTCTAATGTGCAACTAGGGTTACGAAGAACTAAATCCATTAGCTAACTTCCCCCACCCTGAGAGACAGTACATGGACATAGCCAAGGCAGGAGACGTTTTAGTGAGGATTAAATATAAAACAAGCAACAAGGGTCAGAAAACATGATTTCCCAAGTGTTTTCCAACGGTGAAAGTCTACCATTATCTGTTTCCACATAGTCTTTCTAGAAGTCTAGGAGGTGTAATATTCCATGTTACACCAGCTAGCAGATTCAATTCTAGTTCACTTTGGAGAAATCTGTCAGCTTATTTCTTCAGGATAGAGTTCCCAAAACAAGAATAGGGTAAAATATCCTAGCAACTTACAATACAAGTTGAGTATCCCTTACCCAAATGCTTGGGAACAGAAGTGTTTCAGATTTCAGGCTTTGGAATATGTGCATTATATACTTACTGACTGAATATCCCAAATCCGAAAATCCAAAACCTGAAATGCTCCAGTAAGCATTTCTTTTTTTTTTTTTTTTTTAAATTATACTTTAAGTTCTAGGGTACATGTGCATAACGTGCAGGTTTGTTACATATGTATACTTGTGCCATGTTGGTGTGCTGCACCCATCAACTCGTCAGCACCCATCAACTCATCATTTACATCAGGTATAACTCCCAATGCAATCCGTGCCCCCTCCCCACTCCCCATGATAGGCCCCGGTGTATGATGTTCCCCTTCCCAAGTCCAAGTAAGCATTCTCAGCACTCAAAAAGTGTCAGATTTTGGAGCATTTCAAATTTTGGATTTTCAGATTAGGGATACTCAACCTATACTAGAACACAATTATTTAAGAATAAGAAACACAGCTCTACTTTACAGAAAAGAGTAGCAAAAAGAGGGAAGAATTCAAGAGGCCAACCTAATATTTTGTAAAAGTATAACTGGATAAATGTTACTGAGCTGCACAAAGATCACTTCTGCTGACTGGAGCTAAAGCCACAAAGGGATCCTAACCCTATTCTCCTCTGTATCCTGATGTTGATGCAGTCAGGTGTGGTTCTATGGAGTCAGGAACTACTGCCACAGTCAGCATGCAGAAGCCAAAGCAACGAGTGCTACCCAGCAAAGTTCGAGAAGGTTCAAGAAGTTGTTTTTCGGGAGGAAAACAAGCTGTCTTGGCTACAGCAGCAGGCTCTAGGAGGCCGGCCTCCAGCCCACTTCCTCATTTATCTCCCCTTCACAAGGAGAAGCCTGGACACACATGGGTCCCCAAAGCGGTGTTAACAGCTACCACTCACACTGCTTCTCTTTGACCCTGTAGAATCAGAGCTCCTCAGCCTTCAAGGAGTTGGAACTATTGCAATTCCATCTCTTCCCAAAGCTATTCTCTGAAGCTTGGGAATCAACTTTAAAGAATCTTCCAAGGTGGGATATAGGAAAAACTGTATTCTTAGACTTGGTGTTCTATAGAGTGGGCAACAAGCCAACCGGGTCTACCACTTTCAACGCTGTGTGCTACTTCCTAGAAGTAAGAGTTGCTTTAGGTAGTCTCCTCGTCTAATTGTTAGAGATCCAATGGTTTAGCTACATAAAACTGCCCATTCCTCCCCACGTCTCTCCCATCTCTATGCCTTTGCTCATACTATCTGTACTATCAGGAATGTTCTCGCCCACATCTCTTTCTGAAATACTTCTACCCTTCTTTTAAAGACCTGCTCAAACCTCACTTCCTCTAAGATGCCCTCCCAGATCCCATCCCAACTCCTATATTAACTTCATTTACACTGTGTTATAATATGGCATTCCCCACCCTTTGCCATTTTTAGATAGCTTATACTTGTCTCCAACAAGAAATCAGGCCCTGGTGGACAATAATAAAGTTTCATTAGATCTTTTCTATGCCTTTCAGCACCTCATATAAAGCAGAAATTCAGGAAATATTTGTTAAACAATTGGATTCAAGAAGCATTCAGAAGGCTTCTTACAGTAGCTCACGGCTGTAATCTCAGCACTTTGGAAGGCTGAGGTGAGAGGATCACTTGAGCCCAGGAGTTTGAGACCAGCCTGGGTAACATAGGGAAGATCCTATCTCTACAAGAAAAAATTTTTTAATTAGCTGGGTGTAGTGGTGCAGTGCCTGTGGTCGCAGCTAGTTGGGAGTCTGAGGTGGGAGGACCACTAGAGCCCAGGGGGTTGAGGCTACAGTGAGCCATGATCGCACTCCTGCACTTCAGCCTGGGTGACAGAGCAAGACTTTATCTCAAAAAAAAAAAAAAAAAAAAGGCCGGGCGCGGTGGCTCACGCCTGTAGTCCCAGCACTTTGGGAGGCTGAGGCGGGCGGATCACAAGGTCAGCAGATCGAGACCACGGTGAAACCCCGTCTCTACTAAAAATACAAAAAATCAGCCAGGCAAGGTGGCGGGCGCCTGTAGTCCCAGCTACTCAGGAGGCTGAGGCAGGAGAATGGCGTGAACCCGGGAGGCGGAGCTTGCAGTGAGCCGAGATCGCGCCACTGCACTCCAGCCTGGGCGACAGAGAAAAAAAAAAAAAAAGAAGAAATACAGAGAAGCATTCAGAGAAGCTGCTCTGCTAGTCTGACCTTGGTTTGCTATGGAACACAAGATGTTCTTTCTTCCTCTTTACCTGTCTTCTTTTGTTAGTTTGCTTTGAAATATTACTCCTTAAAATAATTTTCCTATTTTCCTTCCTGTGATTTTTTTTCTGATTTTTTTAACTGAACATAATTCACATACCATAATATTCACCCTTTTAAAGTGTAGATTTTAGTATATTAACAAAGTTGTGTAATCATCACCTCTTTCTAATTCCAGAATGTCTTCATCATCCCAAAAAGAAAATGCATACTCACAGGCAGTCACTCTCCACCCCCAACCCCAAGCAACAACTAATCTACTCTCTGTCTCTGATGTATAGGATTTTAACAAAGCTTAGAGTAGGTGATCTCAATTGTGGTTTTATTATACCCTGAAGTCAAAATTTTATCTTCCAAAAAAAGAAAAGAAGAGATTCTTATTTTATAAGTCAAAAGGAAAATGTGATTTGACACAGCATTGTTTTTGTTTTGTTAAGCTTTTCATTGAGGAAGTATATATATAGAAGTTTGTATATTGGGCCGGACGCGTTGGCTCACGCCTCAGCACTTTGGGAGGCTGAGGCGGGCAGATCACCAGAGGTCGGGAGTTCGAGACCAGCCTGACCAACATGGAGAAACCCCGTCTCTACTAAAAACACAAAAAATTAGCCAGACATGGTGGCACATGTCTGTAATCCCAGCTACTAAGGAGGCTGAGGCAGGAGAATCGCTTGAACCTGGAAGGCTGAGGTTGCAGTGAGCCGAGATAGAGCCATTGCATTCTAGCCTGGGCAACAAGAGTGAAACACCGTCTCCAAAAAAAAAAAAAGAAAAAGAAGAAGGTTATATAGGTTGTATATCATGAGAGCACACCTCAATGAGTTTTCAAAACCTGAATACTGTAGTCCCCTTTATCAGCAGGTAATACCTTCCCCCATGGATGCCGGAAACCACGGATAGTACTGAGCCCTATATGTGCTATGTTTCTTTCTGTGTGTGTGTATATATATATATGTGTGTGTGTTTGATAAAGTTTAATTTATATATTAGGCAGAATAAGAGATTAACAATAACATAATAAAATAGAATAATTATAACAATATACAGTTAAAAATGTCATGTGAATGTGCCTCTTTTTTTTTTTTGAGACAGAGTCTTGCTCTGTCACCCAGGCTGGAGTGCAGTGGCGCAATCTCGGCTCATTACAAGCTCCACCTCCCAGGTTCACGCCATTTTCCTGCCTCAGCCTCCCGAGTAGCTGGGACTACAGGCACCCGCCACCACACCCGGCTAATTTTTTGTATTTTTAGTAGAAACGGGGCTTCACCACATTATTCAGGATGGTCTCGATCTCCTGACCTCGTGATCCACTAGCCTTGGCCTCCCAAAGTGCTGTGATTACAGGCGTGAGCCACCGCGCCCGGCCTGAATGTGCCTCTTTCTCTCAAAATATCTTTACTGTATTATATAAACTCACCAATTTTCAGACCGCAGTTGACCATGGGCAACTAAGATTGCAGAAAGCAAAACCGCTGACAAGGGGGAACTACTGTATACAAGTGTAGCCAACTCCCAGATTAAGAAACAGAACAGAAGCCTACTCCTTAACCATTCCCAAAGAATAACTATGATTTTTGACTTCTAACAGCAGAGAATAACTTTTTTGCCTGTTTTTGTACATTTATGAATGGAAGCATATACTATGCAGAATAGAAAAGTTCTACATTGAAATTCTATGCCTTGTAATACTCACCATAATCTTCTTGTATAAAGCCATTACGTTATCATCATCAAATGGTAGAAATCCACACATAAGAACATATAACAGTATGCCCATACTCCAAACATCTGCCTGAGAGAAAGAGGGAAAAAGGAAAATCACTGAAACAAAAATTCAAACATATTTCAGAACGGCAGGACTCTTGATACAATCACAGAATTGTCACAAAGCTAAAAGAGAGCTCAGAGATCAACAACTTCAACCTGCTCATTCTATAGTCAGAGAACCTGAAGCTAAGGAGGCTTCTCTAAGGTCACCCAGTCAATTGGAGGCCACCCAGGAAGGCCTCCTGACTTCCAATTCAATGCACTCTCCTCCAGCTGGACTCTAACACTTAACAGAAAATAATTTCCAGTAGGCTGGGCTGTATTAGACATGATAAGAAGATGAGACAATTCTACAGTGCTACTGAAGGTTTAGGTTACACATGAAGTTTATGTAAACAGGCATGAGGATGTCTTAAAATGTATTAATAATCAGCAAGTATGACTAAGCTATACTATAAAATTCTATGTAGAGAACTTTAATAAAGTTCAATGATTGACTTTTCAAATGTAGAGGCAGCCGGGCGTGGTGGCTCATGCCTGTAATCCCAGCACTTTGGGAGGCCGAGGTGGGCGGATCACCTGAGGTCAGGAGTTCGAGACTAGCCTGGCCAACATGGTGAAACCCCATCTCTACCAAAACTACAAAAATTAGCCAGGCATGGCGGCGCATGTCCACAGTCCCAGCTACTTGGGAGGCTGAGGAAGGAGAATCACTTGAACCCAAGAGATGGAGGTTGCAGTGAGCCGAGATCACGCCACTGTACTCCAGCCTGGGACACAGAGTGAAACTCCATCTAAAAACAAACAAACAAACAAACAAAAAAATATATATATGTATTTATATGTATATATATGGAGAGAGAGACTAGAAATTAGCCTACCAGCACAAATAGTCCTACAAATCTCAAAATCCCAGGAAAGAGCTTAACCTTTATATGTGATATCCATGTGTCCCATGAGTCCTAAGCAGTAACTATTTATTCAAGCAGTATTTGGCCTTAGTAATGATGCCACCATTAGCCGAGGAGAAGTCACAGCTCTTACTCTCATTTGAGCCTTAGGAAAATGTTTTTTTTTTGGAGAGAGGGTCTCACTCTGTTGCCTAGGCTGGAGTGCAGTGGCACAATCTCAGCTCACTACAACATTTGCCTCCCAGGCTTAGGAAAGTTTAAGAGGAAAAAAAGAAAAAGAGGAAAGAAGGAAAGGAAGGAAGAAAACAAAGAAAGAAAAGAAACAAAGAGAAAACAGAGTTAAAATAAGTTGAGCAGCATCACGTATCTGGGTAGTACTTATACTAGATAAGCCAAATTTAACCCCTAGTCCTGTTTACCAAATCATATCAGATTATTAGGACTCTACTACGATGTCTCAAGTGAACAATCTGCTTTGAAGCAAACACCTGATTACTCTTCCAAGTTGCAGGAGGTCAGAAATTGACCATTTATGCCTCAGAGATGTCAAATATTTAATCTATAAATTGAGACATGATGGCATGACACTCATTCATGGTATTAAATTCAAAGCAGATCGGGTGCAGTGGCTGACGCTTATAATCCCAGCACTTTGGGAGGCCGAAACGGGCCTCCTCCCACCTGAGGTCAGGAGTTCAAGGCCAGCCTGGTCAACATGGTAAAACCTTGTCTCTACTAAAAATACAAAATTTGGTCGGGTGTGGTAGTGGGCACCTGTAATACCGGCTACACGGGAGGCTGAGGCAGGAGAATCGCTTGAACCCGGGAGGTAGAGGTTGAAGTGAGCTGAGATTACACCATGGCACTCCAGCCTGGGCGACAGAGCGAGACTCCGTCTCAAAAAAAAAATCAAACCAAAGAGGTTGCACAGGAAACAGTGAGCTACATGGCCTCATCAAATACCACAAGAGGGGCCAGGTACGGTGGCTCATGCCTGTAATCCCGACACTTTGGGAGGCGAGGTAGGCGGATCACTCGAGGTAGGAGTTCAAGACTAGCCGGGCCAACATAGCGAAACCCTGTCTCTACTAAAAAGACAAAAAAAATTAGCCGGGTGTGGTAGTGCATGTCTGTAAATCCAGCTACTCAGGAGGCTGAGGCAGGAGAATCACTGAACCCAAAAGGCGGAGGTTGCAGTGAGCCAAGATCACGCCACTGCACTCCAGCCTGGGCAACACAGTGAGAGTCTGTCTCCAAAAAAAAAAAAGGGTCGGGCATGGTGGCTCACGCCTATAATCCCAGCACTTTGCAGTGAGCCGAGATCGCACCATTGCACTCCAGACTGGGGGATAAGGGCGAGACTTTGTCTCAAATAAATAAATAAATAAATAAGGCTGGGCACGGTGGCTCATGCCCGTAATTCCAACACTTTGGGAAGCCGAGGCGGATGGATCACTTCAGGTCGGGCATTCGAGACCAGCCTGACCAACATGGAAAAACCCCCATCTCTAATAAAAATACAAAATTTGCCAGGAGGGGTGGTACATGCCTGTTAATTCCAGCAACTCGGGAGGCTGAGGCAAGAGAATCGCTTGAACCCGGGAGGCGGAGGTTGCAGTGAGCCAAGATCACACCATTGCACTCCAGCCTGGGCAACAAGAGCGAAACTCCGTCTCAAAAAACAAACAAACAAACAAACAAAAAGTCAACAGAAAGATTATGTCTAGGGTTAAACTTAAAGAGGAATAAAATTATAATAACATCCTCATAGTGCTACCAACACTTATTAGAGAAAAGAAAGCAGAAAAAGTATTTTTCAGTTAACTCAAAGCACTTTTACTTCACTGTTTTGAATTGAATATGAGAATAAATTAACTAAAATCATAACTAAAGCAAATGCAAGTAAATCCAAAAACTACCAGTTGACATGAAAAATAACTGGCTCCCAGCACTTTGGGAAGCCAAGGCAGGAGGATCACTTGAGCCCAGGAGTTCAAGACCAGCCCCAGAAACACAGAAAGACCCTATCTCTGCAAAGAAATAAAAAACATTAGCCAGGTGTGGTAGTGCACACCTGTAGTCCTAGCTACTTGGGAGGCTGAGGTGGGAGGACTGCTTGAGTCTAGGAGGTAATGGCTACCGTGAGCCATAGTCATGCCACTGCACTCCAGCCTGGGAGACAGAGTGAGACTCTGTCTCAAAAAAAAGAGATAATAAAATAATTGGGAGGAAGAGAGAACTGAAACCATTTCCCATGAAAAATTACTGAAGAAATTAGAGATATTTACAATGGAACATGTCCTTAAAGCACAATCAGGACCGTGAACATCAGAATCAACTATTTTATTAGTATTTTAAATTAAGATTCTTAAAGCCCCATCTTAGAAAATGAAACCAAAATCTCTGAGGGAGTTACTAGCCTGAGCTCTGCATCATTTAGTAAGTACCTCAAATGACTCCTCAGTCCACTATCCTTTAGACACTCTGAGAAGGACAGGAAGTTGAACAAACATGGACAAGAAAACAATTTAAAATTACATAGGAAAAACCCAGATACACTCAAATCCGCAGATTTTCATCACCTCTAAGAATCTTGTGAGATCAAGCATACAATTATCACTCCTTCTGGGAAACTAAATGGAGTAGTGGAAACAGTACCTCACTCTATTCAAATCTCACTCCAGCCTGGTCAACAAGAGTGAAACTCCGTCTCAAAAAAAAAAGTCTGTAGAGCTTAAGTGAAAATTATTAAATGTATCTAGCATGTGAAACTCTTTTTTTTTTTTTTTTTGAGACAGAGTCTTGCTCTGTCACCCAGGCTGGAGTGCAATCATACAATCTCTGCTCACTGCAACCTCTGCCTCCCAGGTTCAAGCGATTCTTCTGCCTCAGCCTCCGAGCAGCTGGGATTACAGGTGCACATCACCATGCCTGGCTTATTTTTGTATTTTTAAGAGAGACAGGGATTCACCATGTTGACCAGGCTGGTCTCGAACTCCTGACCTCATGATCCACCCACCTCAGTCTCCCAAAGTGCTGGGATTACAGGCATGAGCCACCACGCCCAGCCCACATGAAACTCTTGTACACTGTTGGTGGAAATGTAAGATGGTGCACTCACTATGGAAAACAGTATGGAGATTCCATAAAATATTAAAAATAGAATTACAATATGATCCAGCAACTCCACGTCTGAATATATACCCAAAGAATTGAAAGCAGGATCTCAAAGAGATATTTGTACACTCATATTCCTATCAACATTATTCACAAGAGCCAAAAGGTAGAAGCAATCTAAGTATCTACCAGTGGATGAATGAATAAACAAAATGTGGTATATACATATAATGGAATATTATTCAGCCTTACAAAGAAAGGAATTGTGACACATGCTACATGAATGAACCTGAGGACATTATGCTAAGTAAAATAAGCCAGTGACAAAGAGACAAATATTGTATGATTCCATTTATATGAGGTTCCTAGATTAGTCAAATTCATAGAGTCAGAAAGCAGAAGGGTAGGGGAATAGGGTAGGCAGAAATGAAGAATTGTTTAACAGGTATAGAGTTTCAGTTTTGCAAAATTAAAAGAGCTCTGGAGATTGGTTGCACAACAATGTGATTATATTTCAGTACTACTGAACTACACATTTTAAAAACAGTTAAGATGGTAAATTTTATGTTATGTGCATTTTACCACAATTAAAAATAAAAAGTATCCAGCATGATTCCAGGACCATGATAAACATTCAGAAAACATTTGGTCCCTTTCCTATAATGCACTAAGAAGCTACAACATCATTTCTGTGGTATTTCTGCCAAAAATACATAACCTGAATCTAATCATAAGGAAACATCAAATAAATTCAAATTAATGTACATTCTACTATAAATAACTGGCCTCCTCAAAAATGTTGAGATCAAGAAAAATAAAGCCTAAGGAAGTCTTCCAGATTAAAAGGGACTAAAGAGACACAATAACTAAATGCAATAACTAAATGTATCCTGCACCAAATACTAGACTGGGGGGACAATAAAACCATAAAGGACATTATTGGCACAATTAATACCATTTGAGGCCGGGCGCGGTGGCTCAAGCCTGTAATCCCAGCACTTTGGGAGGCCGAGACGGGCGGATCACGAGGTCAGGAGATCGAGACCATCCTGACTAACACAGTGAAACCCCGTCTCTACTAGAAAATGCGCAAAAAACTAGCCGGGCGAGGTGGCGGGCGCCTGTAGTCCCAGCTACCAGGAGGCTGAGGCAGGAGAATGGCGTAAACCCGGGAGGCGGAGCTTGCAGTGAGCGTGAGATCCGGCCACTACACTCCAGCCTGGGCGACAGAGCGAGACTACGTAAAAAAAAAAAAAAAATACCATTTGAATATGAATTATGAATTAAATAAATGGTATCAATGTTAAATTTTGACACTAAAGTGTGGTTATAAAAGGAAAGGTCTTTACTTTCAGGAAAAATATATAAAGAAATATTGAGTGATAAAGAGATATGATGTTTCTAGCTAACTCAAATGATTCAAAACAAATGCATATATATAAACATAGAGAATGATAAAGCAAATAAGGAAAAATGTAAAAGACTGTGAATTTGAGTAAAAGATATACCATTCCATTTTTGCACTATCCTGTAAGTTAGAGATTATATCAAAATAAAAAGTCACCAAAAACAGCTCCCATCTTCTCGTGTTAGGAAGTAACTTGGTATTCCCAAAGTTCCTTACACTAGTTCCAAAAGATGCTCTCCATCAAAAGTGGATCCCATAGGCAAATAAGATCAGGACCAGCTGCTATCTGTGATGTTCCTTTCCTGAAGGATCACACTGCACAAGAGTACATTAAATATTTGGAGGCCGGGCACAATTGTTCATGCCTATAATTGGGAGGCCGAGGTGGGTAAATCATTTGAGGTCAGGAGTTTGAGACCAGCCTGACCAACATGGTGAAACCCGTCTCTACTAAAAACACAAAAAAATTAGCCGAACGTGGTGGCAGGTGCCTGTAATCCCAGCTACTTGGGAGGTAGAGGCAGGAGAATCGTTTGAACCCAGGAGGCGGAGGTTGCAATGAGCCAAGATTGCGCCACTGCACTCCAGCCTGGGTGACAGAGTGAGACTCCATCTCGAAAAAACAAAACAAAACAAAACAAAAAAAGATTTGGACATGTCCTAAAATAAGAAACCCGTTTAACCGAGCAGTTCCTGAGCTTTTCACAACTACAGTGTTTTTTTAAATCTTATGACACTAACATCAGCAAAACTAGTACTCCAGAGAATGGGAGGAGCTGCTAATTTGATAATTTGAGATACAGCAAATATAAATCAGGCAAAGCCCAGTCCTTCTCAGCCTGGACTCCTACACAGGGCTGCTGGCCTTGGAGAATCAGCTATGAATAGACAAAGCACAGGTTTTCTCTGTGCTAACCAGCATCTCTGAAAACTGAGCCTGGAACCTCGGTCTTTGTTCTATCCAGCTAGACTAACTAGTCCAAACTATGGCACTATTTAATTCAAAAGCAACCACAACAAGGACACCAGAAATATCCCTGCTTCATAAGTATATTATGTGTTACTATATTTATTGCAAGTTATTAATTTCATTTATAAGTATATATATCTCACTCACCAAATAGACTGAACTCTTTGATTAACAAGATTATTTCTTACTTCATCATTATACCCCCAATGCACAGTGCCTGACTCACTACAGGTCACCAATATAAATGCCTGTTGATTATATAATGAATTAATCAATGAATAATTACCTCTGATCCAAGATATGATTTGCCTTGTATTAATTCAGGTGCTGCATAAGCCAGACTCCCACAGCATGTCTGCAGATGGTAATCCTTGTTACCCTGTCAATAAGATAAAAATGAAACACTTATTAATTACAGCCCTTAAGAGAATTAAACCTTGATAAACATCCTTTTCTTTTTTGAGACTGAGTCTCACTCTGTCACCCAGGCTGGAGTGCAATGGTGCAATCTCAGCTCACTGCAACTTCTGCCTCCTGGGTTCAAGTGATTCTCCTGCCTCAGCCTCCAGAGTAGCTAGGATTACAGGCACGCAGTTTGCCACCATGCCCAACTAATTTTTGTATTTTTGGTATAGATGGGGTTTCGCCATGTTGGCCAGGCTACTCTCAAACTCCAGACCTCAGATGATCCACCCACCTCAGCCTCCCAAAGTGCTGGGATTACAGGCATGAGCCACCGTGCCTGGCCGATAAAAATTATCGGCCATTTTTATTGTATGCCAATTTTTATGGCACACAACATATAACATAAAATTTACCATCTTAACCTTTTTAAAATGTATAGTTTAGTAGTACTGAAATATAATCACATTGTTGTGCAACCGATCTCCAGAGCTCTTTTAATTTCGCAAAACTGAAACTCTATACTTGTGCATTTTATGAGCACAAGCAAAGAGAAGCTAGATGAAAAACTACCCCACATTATAAAGGATTTCTGTAGCCAACGCAATACTCTGTATACATATGTGCATGCACGTGTGCTCTCTGCTTCTCTGGATTCCCAACACCACTACAACCTGGCATGAACAAATCCTTTTCCCTTAGCTCAGTCAAATCAGGTTCATACTTCCCTAAATATCCACATACATAAATAAGCCTAGCATATATCCAAGCATCCACGTCTTTCCATCCCCAAGTATCCCAGGGGGGGAAAATTTATTTACTGGACCTTATCTCCAGTATCAAATCTTTACAAATACAGAAGAGCTCTATTTTTTTAGAGGGAAAAAAGCAATATGTTACATAGAACAGTGCCTTCAAAGTCTGTTTTCTAGATGCAGTTATAAGACAAATCACTCCCTTAGCTTCCAGATCTGTTAAAATGAGTAATCTGCTCATCCTCCTCTGCCCTCCCACAGAATATCAAGACATAATGAAAACAAAGCTACAGTCCAACAGCTGCATAGAGTTCTTACAGCTGGCAAAGGATTTGTGAATTGTGAGATGTCATTTACAACTGAAACAACATGCCCAGGAGCGCGCTCCTTGGAAGAAGTCTGAGGCAATCCTCTCCCAGGCAACCCCGCTTTCCTTAGATGTGTCTATGTGGGTAATCTGTGGCAGCCATAAATGAAGGCACACAGGGTCTGTCACAAGCCTTCTCCACTGCCTCCCATGGAGAACGACTTAAACCAGTTTATCTGTTCAAAGTATGTTTTATCTTTATATGTCTGTCAATCAAAAAAAAAACCTGCCTTCTAGCATTTGGTTCCCAGAAAAAAGGTCCCACTGATAGTTTCTGAAGAGCCAAGGGAATCAGAGAAGAATCAGAAAGAGTCATTCTGCCAAAGGGGTAAAATCTGCTTCCCTTTGCACCTAGCTAATTCTGATCGGGACAGGAAACAGTAATGGAACTACAAAAGCCTGAGACAAGTCTGCAATTTCAACATTCTTAATGAGTGTAGACAGCTCATTTTTGAGATTGTGAGTACCATGATTAGAGAACTCCAGAGGAAGCCTCCAACAGGCAACCACACAGGAGATCTGCTGCAGACAGGACAGCAAGAAAGTTCAAAGTCACCTCAAAGAGAAGTTATGCTGGAGAACACCAAAACGTAACCATGGAATGCAAATTAAGGAAATATATAACAGTTATAAATTTAGAAGTGCACATGGGATTTTTCCTTCTTTTAAAAGGAAAGGGGATTGTTTCTCAAAATGTAACTAATTGTTAGCTATAGAACCATTTGGATAATAGATTTGCACTAAATTCTCAACTTTTATCTAAACAAACAAAGGCATCATCTAGTGGCAATATACTCAAACTGCAAGCACATTGTCAAGTCAGCATTCTTGCTATAATAGCCTCAAGTCACCTCTGCACTGCAAATTCTCACAGCATACTCATGGAGTCTTCAGCAGGACCAATCCTAGAACTAGGGCAGTGACTCTCAATCTTGATTGCATGTTATGATCATCTAGAGAACTTACAAAAACTACCGATACCAGGGATGAAATTTAACATTCTTCTCAATGGATGCAACCAAGCTCAATAAAGACTAAGTGGAAGTCAGGACGAAATCACACACTAAGAAACAAATGCATTTACAAAGAACATAGATGCATCTTATTTCTGCACTTACCTTGGGTTTTGCACAGAGACCAAAATCAATCAGCTTTAATTTATGATATTCATCAAACAGCAAATTTTCCTGGGAAAACAAAGATATTTTGATAACTGTATACTGACTTCCTTATATCAAATCCCACCTCTAGCCATTTCTAAAAATGATTTAAGGCCGAGTGTGGCAGCTCATGCCTGTAATCCCCCAGCACTCTGAAGGCAGAGAGGAGAGCATTATTTGAGCCCAGGTTTTCAAGATCAGCCTGGGCAACACGGCAAGACCTGGTCTCATTTTTTAAAAATAAATTAATTAAAATGAGTAAAAATGATCTAAGGTTGTTTCTGTTAAAAAATCTGGATACTACAAAATGAAAATGACTAGAAACTAATGAAATGACAAGAAGTATATAAGGGAAAAGAAGGGCCAGGCACGGTGGCTCACGCCTATAATCCCAGCACTTTGGGAAGCTGAGGCGGGCACATCACCTGAGGTCAGGAGTTCGAGACCAGCCTGACCAACATGGAGAAACCCCGTCTCTACTGAAAGTACAAAATTAGCCAGGCATGGTGGTGCATGCCTGTAATCCCAGCTACTTGGGAGGCTGAGACAGGAGAATAGTGTGAACCTGGGAGGCAGACCTTGCAGTGAGCGGAGATCCCACCACTGCACTCCGGCCTGAGTGACAGAGTTAGACTCCGTCTTAAAAAAAAAAAAAAAAAGGCCGGGCGCGGTGGCTCACGCCTGTAATCCCTGCACTTTGGGAGGCCGAGGCGGGCGGATCACGAGGTCAGGAGATCGAGACCATCCTGGCTAACACGGTGAAACCCCGTCTCTACTAAAATACAAAAAATTAGCCGGGCGCGGTGGCGGGCGCCTGTAGTCCCAGCTACTCAGGAGGCTGAGGCAGGAGAATGGCGCGAACCCGGGAGGCGGAGCTTGCAGTGAGCCGAGATGGTGCCACTGCACTCCAGCCTGGGCGATAGAGTGAAGACTCCGCCTCAAAAAAAAAAAAAAAAAAAGGAGGGAAAAGAGGAGGAATATTGATCACTCTATCACTTCCCCACAAGACTCACTAGTATAAACCATTTTCTCCTATTTTCTCCTTGGTGTTCTGAGGGTCAACTACAAGCAAACACAATTTGTGCCAAAAGCGAATTTAAACCAAAAGAGTGAGTTCAAATCAACGAGTTCAGTATAAACAGACGGAAAAAGAGTTTCCAGCCAGGTGCCCTGGCTCATGCCTGTAATTCCAGCACTTTGGGAGGCTGAGGCAGGCACATCACTTGAATCACTTGAAGTCAGGAGTTTGAGACTAGCCTGGCCAACATGGCAAAACCCCGGACCTACTAAAAATACAAAAATTAGCCAAGAGTGGTGGCAGGCACCTGTAATTCCAGCTACTCAGGAGGCTAAGGCAGGAGGATCACTTGAACCTGGGAGGCAGAGGTTGCAGTGAGCCAAGATTGCGCCACTGCACTCCAGCCTGGGTAACAGAGCAAGACTCAGTCTCAAAAAATTAAAAATAAAAATAAATAAATAAACGCATACATACATAAAATAAAGATACAAAAAATTAGCTGGGCATGGTGGCATACACCTGTAGTCCCAGTTACTTGGAAGGCTAAGGTGGGAGAATCACTTGAGCCCAGGAGGTTGAGGCTACAGTGACCCTTGATCATGCCACTGCACTCCAGCCTGGATGACAGAGTGAGATCTTGTTTAAAAAAAAAAAAAAAAAAAAGACATTTATAAAGTCACACACAATTGACAGATACACAGAATGCTCATAAATGCATCCAAAAAGCCTACCAAGGGCAGGAGTAGTGGTTCACACCTGTAATCTCAGCACTTTGGGAGGCCAGGGCAAAAGGATAGCTTGAGCTCAGGAGTTCGAAACCAGCCTGGGCAACATGGTGAAACCCTGTCTCTACAAATAACTAAAAAATTAGTCAGGCATGGTTGTGTGCACCTGTACTCCCAGCTACTTAAGAGGCTGAGGTGTGTGGATCACTTGAGCCCTGGAGGTCAATGCTGCAGTGAACCAAAATTGCACTACTGCACTCTTGTCTGAACAACAGAAAAAATAAAAATAAAAGTAACACCTCCCAGAAGTCAAAAGTAAGAGGAAGAAAGGCTGGGTATAGTGGTTCACGCCTGCAATCCCAGCACTTTGGAAGGCCAATGCAGGTGGATCACCTGAGGTCAGGAGTTCAAGACCAGCCTGGCCAACATGGTGAAACCCCATCTCTACTAAAAATACAAAAATTAGTTGGGCATGGTGGCCTATGCCTGTAATCCCAACTACTCGGAAGGCTGAGGCAGGAGAACTGCTTGAATCCAGGAGGTGGAGGTCGCAGTGAGCTGAGATCACACCACTGCACTCTAGCCTGGGCGACACAGTGAGACACCACCTCTAAAAAAAAAAAAAAAAAAAAAAATTAAGGCCTAGCGCAGTGGCTCATGCCTGTAATCCCAACACTTTGGGAGGCCGAGATCGTGCATGGCACTCCAGCCTGGGTGACAGAGCCAGAACTTGTCTCAAAAAAAAAAAAAAAAAAAAGTAAGAGGAAAAAAGAAATGTGATGTTATGACTGGAGCAACAACAACAAAAAATAGCAAACCTAAGATAGATTCCTAAACAGATCATTTGGAAACCTAAAAATAACAGGTAAATGATGCTGAACTCTCAGGTGAGCATCTAACTATGATGCAGTCACTTACTGGCTTGAGGTCCCTGTGAGCATAGCCCTGGCTGTGCACGTAAGCGACAGCAGATACTATCTGACGGAAGACAACCCGGGTCTCCTCCTCTGACAGGCGATCCTGGGAAATTATGTAGTCAAACAGCTCTCCTCCAGGGCAGTACTTCAACAGCAATGGAATCACAGATATTGTTACAACGTACAAAAATCACTTCACAGAAATTTAAAATCAAAAAGTACACTTAACTCAGATATTATTAATTTGACTTTATAGGGAATAGAACCGAGTAAGGCATATTCAAAAGTACACTCTCAGGATCAAACAAGTCAATAATGACTCCAGGAATGAGAACAATAACTCTTTCCTCGAACAGTTTTATCACCAGTAAGTAGAAGTAAAACCAACTACCACTGTGATTTTAAAAAGCTCACCCAGGGTTTTATATTTTTATAGCAAAGTATTAAAACCCATTCTCATCTTAATGCACTCTCATTTAGTGTAATTACCTGAAATTTTAAAACCCAGCAGTAATTATTGTTTCTCTATCCCAAAGACCAGTGGTTTTCAATCTGTACCAGAAGCAGCCCAGGTCTACAGAGGTATCTCAGACGCTGCAGAACAGGTACCAGAGCACAAAGCTCAAGGCTTTCCATCCCTTTCCCAGGGCAGTTCCACTTTTCTGTGAGCTGGGTTTCCATTTTAGCAATATCAATTAAAATTACAAATGCATATAGACTTGAACTCACAGTTCCACATTTAGTTATTGCTCTTATAGATGTACTCACTCATATCAAAAAACAGTACTTTGGTCAGGCACGGTGGCTCACACCTGCAATCCCAGCACTTTGGGAAGCCGAGGTGGGTGGATCACTTGAGGTCAGGAGTTTGAGATCAGCCTGGCCAACATGGTGAAAACCCGTCTCTACTAAAAATACAAAAAATTAGCCAGGCGTGGTGGCGGGTGCCTGTAATCCCAGCTACTCAGGAGACTGAGGCAGGAGAATCGCTTGAACCTGGGAGGCAGAGGTTGCAGTGAGCCAAGATTGTACCATTGCGCTCCAGCCTGGGTGACACAGTAAGACTTCGTTTCAAAAAACAAACACCATCACTAACAAAAAATGTACCTTAAAGATCATTTACTACAGCAGCAGTGTTTGTAAAAGCAAAAGACTAGAAACAACTGTCTTAGTGCATTTGGGCTGCTATAACAAAATACCTTACACCGAGTAATTTATAAACAAGATAAATGTATCGCTCACAGTTCTGGAGCCTGGGAAGTCTAACATCAAGATGCCAGTAGATCCAGTGTCTAGTGAGGTTCTGTTGCTCACAGTTGGGATATGCTACGTATCCTCATGTGGTAGAAGGGAGCAAACGAGCTCCCTAAAGCCTCTTGTATAAGGGCACTAATCCCATTCATAAGAGCTCTGCCCTCATGACCTAATCACCTCCTTAAAGGGCCCCAGCTCTTAACACTGGGGATTAAGTTTCAACATACAAATCTGTGGGGAGCATTCAGACCTAAATGCTGATACTAGATAAACTATGACACGGAATGGAATTCTAGGCAGTAATTTAAAAAAAAAAAAAAAAGGAAGCTCTTTACAAACTGCTATGAAACAATGTCCAGTACTAAGTTAATAAAAGACTACAGATTGATATAGTGGCTTGCAAAAGCATTATGCTGAGCAAAAGAAGCCTAACAATAAGCAAAAGAATACTGTATGAGTCATTTACATCACATTCTAGAACAGATTAAACTAATCTGCGGTGATAGAAATCAGATGAGTAGGCCGGGCGCGGTGGCTCAAGCCTGTAATCCCAGCACTTTGGGAGGCCGAGACGGGCGGATCACGAGGTCAGGAGATCGACCATCCTGGCTAACACGGTGAAACCCCGTCTCTACTAAAAAATACAAAAAACTAGCCGGGCGTGGTGGCGGGCGCCTGTAGTTTCAGCTACTTGGGAGGCTGAGGCGGGAGAATGGCGTGAACCCGGGAGGCGGAGCTTGCAGTGAGCCAAGATCACGCCACTGCACTCCAGCCTGGGAGGCACAGCGAGACTCCGTCTCAAAAAAAAAAAAGAAATCAGATGAGTAGTTGCTGGTAAGGGCAGGGTGGCTATGGTTACAGGGAAAACTTCAAAAGGGCAGGAGAAAACTTTCTGAGGTGATAAGAGATGTTTTACACTTTGGGGTGGGAGGTACATGGGTATATACATTTGTCAAATTGCATACCTAATGTACACATTTTATTATATCTAAATTACACCTCAATAGGAAATTTTTTTAATGTTATCCAATAAGTTTTACAAAAAGAAAACAGCCTACTTCATATTTCCAAATAAAGAAATACAAAATAAAGAGAAATAAAAATGTCTGAAATATCTGAATGTGCTCAAATGGTCTCTAAGATCAATTGTTACATGGGAAAAAAACAAGGTGCAAAGTAATAATTTGTGACCATTTGTGTGACAGAAACCAATAAGCAACACACACACATACACACACACACATATAAAATACACATACGTATAAAATATCTGTAGGTATCTACAAGAGACACAAGAAAAATACATGAATGGCTCAGAGAAAAGAAAATGTGAAGGTCAGGAGCAGTGGCTCACTCCTGTAATCCCAAGCACTCTGGGAGGCTGAAGTGGGCAAATTGCCTGAGGTCAGAAGTTTGAGACCAGCCTGGCCAACATGGTGAAACTCCGTCTCTACCAAAAAATACAAAAATTAACCGGAGGTGGTGGCACATGCCTAGAATCCCAGTTACTCAGGAGGCTGGGGCAGGAAAATCACTTGAACCTGGGAGGTGGAGGTTGTAGTTAGCCAAGGTCACGCCATTGCACTCCAGCCTTCAAGACAGTGTGAGACTCCGTCTCAAAAAAAAAAAAAAGGAGAGAAAAAAGAAAAAGAAATGTGATGACTGGGGTGGAGCATGGTTGCTTACGCCTGTAATCCCAACATTTTGGGAGGCCAAGGAGGGAAGATCGCTTAAGGCCAGGAGTCCAAGAGCAGCTGGGGCAACAGGCCAAGACCCGCATTTCTATGAATAATATAATAAAATTTAAAAATTAAAGAATATTGGATGACTGGGATGTAGGGGAAATAGAGGATTTTGTTTTTAATATATACTCCCTTGTACCTTTTTTTTTTTGAGGCAAGGTCTCACTCTATTACCAAGGCTGGAGTGCAGTGGTGCAGTCATAGCTCACTGTAGCCTATATCTCCCAGACTCCTCACCTGAGCCTCCCAAGTAGCTGGGACTACAGGTGTGCACCACTATATCCAGCCTTTTTTTTTTTTTTTTTTTTTTTAAGTAGAAACAAGGTCTCACTATGTTGCTCAAGCTGGTCCCAAACTCCTTAGTTCAAGTGATCTTCCCACCTTGGCCTCCCAAAGTGCTGGGATTACAGGCACAAGACACTGCACCTAGCCACTCTCTTGTACCTTTAAATTTTCTCCTAGATTCATGGATGCTTGGGAGATTTTGTTTAACAATTTTTTTTCTTTTTTCAGACAGAGTCTCGCTCTGCCACCCAGGCTGGAGTGCAGTGGCACAATCTCAGCTCACTGCAAGCTCTGCCTCCCAGGCTCAAGCAATCCTCCTACCTCAGCCTCCCAGGTAGCTGGGACTACAGGCATGCACCACCACAACTGGCTAAGTTTTTGTATTTTTTGTAGAAATGAAGTTTTCCCGTGTTGCCCAGGATAGTCTCGAACTCCTGGCCTCAAGTGATCCACCAGCCTTGGCCTCCCAAAGAGCTGGAGTTACAGGCATGAGGCCCTATGCCTGGCCCTAAGAATTTTATTTGAACAAAGGGATCAGCTAAAAATATAAAGAGGTTTTAAAATTACCATTGTGGACCATGTAGATAGATCTACAGTGTAGTAACGGCAGAAAATAGTTCTAGATCCAAAACATTCAACATTGTAATTTTTTTGTTTTTATTTTTTAGAGACAGGGTTTTGCTCTGTCACCCAGGCTGGAGTACAGTGCCATTATCATGGCTCACTGCAGCCTCAAACTCCTGGACTCAAGCAATTCTCCTGCCTCAGCCTCCTGAGGAGCTGGAATGACAGATGCGCACCACACGCCATCATACCCGGCTTTTTTTTTTTTTTTGTACGTAGAGATAGGGTCTTGCTATGTTACTGAGGCTGGTTTTAAACCACTGGTTTCAAATGATCCTCCCACTTCAGCCTCCCAAAGTGCTGGGATTATAGGCATGAGAGGACCTGGCCAAAATTACGATTTTTAAAATATGCTTTTAAAACAGTACTAACCTGTGAAAATCATGCGCAAATTACGTATTATTTGGCAGAGACTAACAAAAACTAAACAAGTTGAATAATACAAGTTCTAAAGATATCTTTCAAGACAAAAAGGGCAAGTTAAAACTTGAAATTGCTTGGTTTACATAACAGACACTGGAAGCTACCCAGTGCTGTGTGTTGAACTGTCACTGGATCAGCGTAAGCCTAATCCTTGGGTCCTTTTAAGAAGAGAGACATTTGGAAAGAGACAGAGTTACACAGAGAGGAAAACACCATTTGAAGACAGAGGCCAAGATGGGAGTGATGCATCTATAAACCAAGGAGTGCCAAGGACTGCCAGCAACTACCAAAAACTAACAAAGAGGCAGTAAACAGATTCCCCCTCAGAACCTCCAGAAGGAACCAGCCTTGCCCACATTTAATTTCAGACTTCAAACCTCCAGAACTGTGAGACAATGAGTTTCTGTTGCTTTAAGCCACCAAGTCTGTAGTACTTTGTTCCAACAGTCCTAGGAAATTAATATACCATATAAAACTAGAATGAGGCCGGGCGCGGTGGCTCACGCCTGTAATCCCAGCACTCTGGGAGGCCGAGGTGGGCAAGGTCAGGAGATCAAGACCATCCTGGCTAACATGGTGAAACCCTGTCTCTACTAAAAATGTAAAAAATTAGCCGAGCGTGGTGGCGGGTGCCTGTAGTCTCAGCTACTCAGGAGGCTGAGGCAGGAGAAGGGCATGAACTCGGGAGGTAGAGCTTGCAGTGAGCCGAGATTGCACCACTGCACTCCAGCCTGGGCAACAGAGTGAGACTCCGTCTCAAAAAAAAAAAAACAACAACTAGAATGAGTCCTTCCCTCTAGGAGAAAATTCTAACATATTCTATCTAATAAACCATACTACCCCATTAGGGGTGTATTAGAAAGATGACATTTACACTGAATCTCCAATTTATTATATACATCTACTTGATCTAAATTGTTACAAATGGAACAAAACAGGTAAGTCGCTTAACATCTATTCTAATCTTTGAGGTGAAATGTACTTTTCTCTTTTACTACTGATAAAGTGACCAAATGTTTTTAGGTATCTGGAACATACTACTAACCTCAAGAACCATGAATATTTTGTTGGCTGTCTCTAGCACATGGTAGAGTTGACATATATGCTGATGTCTCAGATTTTTCAAGGCCTCAATCTCCGTTTTGATTCGGGGCAAATCACTCTGTGACAAAACATCATATGGAATGAGCAATAAACTTACTCCGGTGGTATTCCAAGCTCCAATACTACCAGCTTTAATACTAAGTAGCAAAAGCTACCAAAAAGCCCCCCAAAAATTGTTCAACACTACAGAAAAATATAGCAAAATTTATTTGCATGTACATAAAATGGGCATTGGAGATTTTATGAAAGACAGGTTCAATGTGGGTCAACAGTACAACATCCAGGAAACAATCTCAGACTCCTTAGGTTAGCATTCCAAACAAGGAAAATGACAGAAACACTACTCAGTTATCATGCCTAAGCTACCACTTTCAGCCTCAGCAACACCGTTTAAGAAGTATGCTGAGCAAAAAACCAGTGAACTTAGGTAAAAGATATATGGGTATTCACTGTCTCAGTCTCCTATCTTTTCTGAGGTCTTGAAACTTTCAAAATAAAAACTTGGGTGGGGAGACGAAGATAAGCCAAGCTGAAAAAACTTTAAAGGACAGAAGCTTAGCGATATCACCAAGTAAAAAGTAAAACTTCATTATAAAAAGGGACTTAGGCCTGGCACGGTGGCTCACGCCTATAATCCCAGCACTCTGGGAGGCTGAGGTGGGCAGACCACCTGAGGTTGGGAGTTTGAGACCAGCCTGACCAATCTCATCTCTACTAAAAATATAACATTAGCCAGGCGTGGTGCCGCATGGCTGTAATCCCAGCTACTCAGGAGGCTGAGGCAGGAGTATTGCTTGAACCTGGGAGGCAGAGGCTGCAGTGAGCCGAGATCGTGCCATTGCACTCCAGCCTGGGCAACAAGAGCGAAACTCCGTCTCAAAAAAAAAAAAAACAAACAAAAAGGGACTCTGGGCCAGGCGCAGTGGCTCACGCCTATAATCTCAGCACTTTGGAAGGCCAAGATGGGTGGATCACCTGAGGTCGGGAGTTCAGGACCAGCCTGACCAACATGGAGAAACTCTGTCTCTACTAAAAATACAAAATTAAAAATACAAAATTAAGCCGGGCGTGGTGGCTCTCGCCTATAATCCCAGCACTTTGGGAGGCCACGGCGGGCAGATCACGAGGTCAGGAGATCGAGATCAGCCTAACACAGTGAAACCCCGTCTCTACTAAAAACACAAAAAATTAGCCGGGCCTGGTGGCGGGCGCCTGTAGTCCCAGCTACTCCAAAGGATGAGGCAGAAGAATGGCATGAACTCGGGAGGCGGAGCTTGCAGTGAGCCGAGATCGCGCCACTGCACTCCAGCCAGGGCGACAGAGCGAGACTCCATCTCAAAAAAAAAAAAAAAAAATTAGCCAGGCATGGAGGCGCATGTCTGTAATCTCAGTTACTCGGGAGAATGATGCAGCAGAATTGCTTGAACCCGGGAGGCAGAGGTTGCAGTGAGCCAAGATCATACCCCTGCACTCCAGCCTGGGTGACAGAGCAAGGCTCCGTCTTGAAAAACAAATAAAATAAAATAAAAAGGGACTCCGTCTAATGGCCAGTGGCTCAGGATCCAGTTGTCCAGGACTATGCAACCAGATGTCACGTCTTGACAAAGAATCAACTGCAACTTTGACTATCTTGGTATGATAATCTTTTTTTCTTCGTGGGGAGGAAGCCTGATGACTAAAACCAGGGAAGTAATCGGCTGGGCGCGGTGGCTCATGCCTGTAATCCCAGCACTTTGGGAGGCCGAGGCGGGCAGATCAAGAGGTCAGGAGATCGAGACCATCCTGGCTAACACGGTGAAACCCCGTCTCTACTAAAAATGCAAAAAAGTTAGCCAAGCGTGGTGGACGGCGCCTGTAGTCCCAGCTACTCCAGAGGCTAAGGCAGGAGAATGGCAGGAACCCAGGAGGTGGAGCTTGCAGTGAGCCGAGACCCACGTCACTGCACTTCAGCCTGGGCAACAGAGCGAGACTCCGCCTCAAAAAAAAATAAATAAGGCCAGGCCTGGTGGCTCACGCCTGTAATATCAGCACTTTGGGAGGCCGTGGCGGGCGGATCATGAGGTCAGACGATCGAGACCACAGTGAAACCCCTAAAAATCAAAAAAAAATTAGCCGGGCATGGTGGCAGGCGCTTGTAGTCCCAGATACCCGGCAGGCTGAGGCAGGAGAATGGCGTGAACCTAGGAGGCAGAGCTTGCAGTGAGCTGAGATTGCGCCACTGCACTCCAGCCTGGAGGACAGAGCCAGTCTCCATCTCAAAATAAATAAATATAAAAATAAATAAAACCATGGAAATAATCAAAATACATTAAAATCCTAGGAAATAACTAAAATAAGCATAACAACAACAGAAAATATAAAAACAAGTTTAGAAATCATGTCATACTGACGCTTTAGAATAAGTTTTGAGCATCAATGTGATAACACATTTTGTGTTATTTAACATTTTGTTTGCTATTTAAGTATTTGAAGTGTTAAAGTAAGTCATATTAAAGTTATAACTGAAATTTAAACTGCTTAAAGATTAAGCAGTTTAAACTGCTTAATCTAATTGATACTCATGTTTAAATGCTCAAGAAAAATGGTTTTAATGCTTTTTTCTTAGATTAATAAATAGAAAATAAAAAATTGAATAAAACAAAAAAACTGAAGGAAAGCCTGAATTGTCCACTGACAGAATTTCTTATACTGGTCACTGTATGATTTTAGCATATATTTAGGAAGAAATTCAAAGAATTTAATGACATTGCTATAACAAAACTACTTACATTCTCTTTGACTTTTTTTTCTTCTGGGGACAGGGTCTTGTTCTGTTGCCCAGTCTGGAGTACAATGGCGCCATCTCGGCTCACTGCACCGCAACGTGCCAGACTCAAGTGATCTTCCCGCCTCAGCGCCCCCAAGTAGCTGGGAACAGGTGTGTACCACCACGTCCAGCTAAACTTTCTGTATTTTTTGTAGAGAAGGGCATTCACCATGTTGCCCAGGCTGGTCTCAAACTCCTGACCTCAGGCAATCCACCCACCTTGGCCTCCCAAAGTTCTGGGATTACAGGTGTGAGCCACCGTGCCTGGCTCTCTTTGACTTATTTATGTGTTAATCAGAACTTATATTCTTAACAATTAAAAAAGTAGGTAACAATTGATATTAAGCCCTATCTCATTCTGACAATAAAAACATCAAAACGAAATTTTTTTTAGACAGGATCTTGCTCTGTTGCCCAGGCTAGAGTGCAGTGGTGCAATCACAGCTCACTGCAGCCTTAACTTCCTGGGCTCAAGGGATCCTCCCACCACCACCTCCTGACTCTGAATAGCTGGGGACTATAGGCATGCACAACCACACCTGGCTAAATTTTTTTTTTTTTGTAGAGACAAGTCTTGCCATATTGGCCCAGGCTAGTCTCGAACTCCTGGCCTCAAGCAATCCTCTGGCCTCAGCTTCCCAAAGTGCTGGAATTACAGGGATGAGCCACCACACCCAACCAAAAATTATTTTTGTGTTTGATAATTAAGAACATTTACAAAAATGTTAGGCGGGAGCAGTGGCTCACACCTGTAATCCCAGCACTTGGGAGGCCAAGGTGGGTGGATCAACTTTGAGGTCAGGAGTTCGAGACCAGCCTGGCCAACATGATGAAATCCCGTCTCCACTGAAAATACAAAATTAGCTGGATGTGGTGGCACACACCTGTAGTCCCAGCTACTTGGGTGGCTGAGGGGCAGGAGAATCACTTGAACCCAGGAGGCAGAGGTTGTAGTGAGGTCCCGAGATTGT